TACAAGAAGGAGTTGACTGATTATGCTATTATAAAAGGTCGAGGAAAAGCAATGAGCAAAAGTGTAGAAGGACACGCTTCAGTTGAAGATAATGAGTCATACTCTGTCATTAGAGCTGTTCAGCAATGGCCAGGCTGCCTTAGAAATACATGAACCCTGTGTCACCAGCCGCACTCCACTAGGGCTGGATGACTATTGACAATGAGGGGCGGTGGAGAATAGACTCTTTACACTCTTTTCTACTCTAAGGTAAATAGTAAAAATAATAGAAAAATGTAGAATCAGATAAGCACATATTCCCATGCATAACCATCTCTGGAATGTCAGACAACTTCTTAAACCTTTTTTGAAAACTTTTCTCAAGCCTAATTCACAGATCAAATAATGTGTGTAAAACACCTGTCATGTAATAGATGCTAAATAAATCATGGGAAAACAAATTATCCTAATATCATATAGTTTCTACAGAATAAGGATTAGCAACTCTCTCGATACCACTAGATGAAAAAGAAAAGCAGAGAAATCAGATAATGTTCTTTAGCTTTCTGATCCTACCTCTGTAACATAAAACTATGGGTCACACTCTGATTATCTGCTGACTGTTTAAATAAGAGATCTTCCTTTTGCAGAAAATTTTACTTGAATTAAAATACTCATACTTCACAGGCAAGTAGGATTTCTGATAGAAAGAAGAAGCAAACCAATAAAGTAATTAAGATTTAAAATTCTATTTTCAGACAAGTACCTTAAATAGAAAAATATTAAAAATATACAATTGAGAGTGGAGCATTTTTCTCAAATAGTTTTCCCTTCAAATACTATCTGAAGAAGGGGCCCTTTTCAGAAAGAGAAATTTATCATTTAAGGTAGGAATCATATGTTAACCCATGAAAGGTGATATTTGATAACTTTGAAAATTGCTTTATCTTTCAGCTTTTCCTTTAAAAAAATGGACAGATTTTAGGTAGTTTAGCACATAGATTAATTTGTAACATTTATTGAAACGTCCTTTACGTGTTAGTGAATTAAGATTCACAATTAAAAGTTTGTATCCTTAAGTGTAAGTGAAACTGTGCTGGATGTTCTCATTATGAACTTGCCCAATAAATCACAGTTAAGATATTCATAATAAAAGCATTCATCTTAGAAAGAAACTTGCTTGAACATAGTGCTGGGAAAAAAAGAATTGCCGTAATGCAGGTAGAGTGGGGAACGTAGCTTTACACAGGGACCTTTACAAAACGGGCCAAAAATATGCACAAAAAATTATTTTGAAGAAACTTCACAGAACCTTTTTTTTCATTTTTAAGAGCAGATGAAAGACATTTGTGATATTAAAAGCAGGAGCTGTCACCTGATCTGTGAACTCTGCCAATTCCAAGGATCTAGGTAAAACTAGTGTCATGAGAACTGCTTCCTGGACTGTTAAAAAATACAGACAACAGGAGAAATGAAGCTTATGTAAAGATATTGGAAAGTTAATCCAAACAATCATCACCAGAGACAGGCAAATGGAAAGAAAAGACAGCGGGAAGATACAGGCGGGGGTAGGGCATGGGGGGAAGGGGGAAAGAGAAGAGTGACATTTGGTGATGAACCATATGTGCGTGGTTTGAAAGACATGACTGAATTGTTTTTGGTGCAGTATTATTCTGACATTTAGAATGAGGCAATTTTCCATTTCCATTAATGTACTGCCAAATAGAAGGGGAACTGTCTCGAATTAAAGACTAAAGAAAGCTGTTCCTCAAAGTTGTATTAAATCATTGCTGATGAACTCATTAAGAACAAATTAACGAGGTAAATTGTACTAGGAATAACCAGCAAGAAAATCCAAGGGAAATTATACAACTTCACTGATTTCTAAACAGTCCAGCATTAAGCAATGCCAGCACGTGACATCAAAGTGGGATATACTCTTTGGTCTCTACAAATTTCTCAGTATCCTCGGAAAGGACCCAGGGTTACTTCAGAAAGAGGAGAAAATTTGATGTAGTATCTCAACAGACTTCATAACAACTAAAAGATGTTAGGGAAAATTACCTCCACCCACCTTTCCACTTCATTTTTCAAATAGAAAAGAGGCTAAAACTTTGTGTGAGGCATGATAAAAAAACAAAAATTTGTTGTCTGTGATCTAAGCAATACATTTAGCCCTTTGTTCTAATGATCAGCATAGAGAAGATTATTAAAACTCTACAACTAAGTTCCCTCATTTTCTGTGAAATCAGCTAGACATGAATTTTTTTGCCTTTCTCAGATGAGGGTGAAAAATCTCTGTTGTCTTCAAATACTTCTCATGGAGTTCACCAGTCAGGTGGAAGAGCTGAAAACTAACATCGAGGTGCTCCCATCTCAACATTCCAGGATTCCCAAATCCTCCAAGGTGATCAGCCCCTTATATATCTAGTTACAGAGCAACTCAGACTTGTCATTTCTGTTTTATTCTCAGCACTGGTGCTCTAGGTATTGTAGACTAGCTGAAAAAAAAAAAAAAAAAAAAAGGCAGCAGAAACTCACAGCAACATGCTCATTAATTTGTCCAGTGGTCACACTCTACATTTTGTCATGTCGAGTCCATATTCTGGAACTCAGTAATGAAATCCCGAAATCTTTTTACATGATGATGTCCTCCCTCTCACTTCATGTTCTCTGTTAACATTTTGATAGGTCTTCTTTTTGCCATAAAAGAGAACTCAAGACATCTCCATAACAGCATGAATCTAGATCCTGAACTCTATCTTTTTTTCTCCCCACGGTATTCCTAGGGCCTAGCATGCTGCTTAAAACACAAGAAGCACATAATAAAAGCTGTGTTATTTGAACAGAGGAACTAATAATAATGTTGTGTACTTACATTATAGCCCATATACAGAATTCTCTGCCATATATTAACAAATGGATCATTTGAAATTCCAGGAAATACTGGTTCTAACTTGAGATTAACGCAATAACAGCCATGTCTTAAATGTGAATTAATCTGCTGCACTTTCTTTAATTTTTCATACTCATTAAAGCTCAATTTCTCAAAAGTAATTCCTTTAGTAGCTATTGTAATTTTTTTCACTTTAATTGATCGAAATCATTTATAAGAATATTTTTTAAAACTACAATTTCAATTGGGTTCATTTTAAATGATTTTGAATCATTCACATTTCTATAACCCTTTTTATCTCATGATCTCAAAGTTCATTTATATGTTATTTATTTCTAATGTAGAGCAGAATGGAGTAATTGTTCCCATTTTACAGGCACACACTGAAATAAACACTAGATATATGGCTTTCAGTAAATAACTCAAGATGGGAAATTTGAGACTCAGGATCAAATCAAATCCATTATTTCTCATCCAAGAAATTACACATTTCCATCATTTTGTCACCTAAAAATTTATTTTTCTATTGTAACTTCAGTCCCCCTTATGATTCTGCTTACTAAACTTTAATTGGAAATATGCATATGAATTTCTCCAACCCCTCTCTCCCCTAATTCATTTTCAAGGTCATTGGATATGACCAATTGTTGCTAAACCAGTGCTAAAGGAAGTTCTGCTGAAGTCAACAGGAATCAGAAATGGTATTTGATGAAAGACTTAAAGTCTGTATAGGTATCTGATTTTAAAAGTTGTAGCCCCTTTAAATTAATTGAAGGGCTACTAAGTGCTGGCCAGGACATGCTGCCTAGCTGTTTCCATAATAAAAGATTGCAAAGTGGAAAACTATTATATCTGGACATGTTACCCCAACTTTGTTTATAAATTCAATATATTATAATCAAAATGTATAAAACTAAGAGAAACCTTTGCCTTTTAAATCAGACAATTCCTTTTGCTTTTGCAGTTCATGGTTGCAGCTTACTGATCTGATAATTATACCCACAGAGAAACTGACCTTAGCAAGGAAGGACAGAGGTCTAGAGAAGAAACCAAAAAATCCTTTCTGCTTTGTTTGGTTTGCAATTTTTTTCAAGGAATTAAAAAAAATCATTTGTCTTATAGATAACAAAAAAAAAAAAGGTCTGATGAACTAAAAACCATTTAAATAAAAGAATCTAAGTCAACTTTCTCCTCTGAAAATGTTCTGGCCTAAGGGTGCATTTTTCCAGCTTCATTGCTTGCCAGAGCAAGGTCAGGGCTCCTACTGAATGTTGTTTCCTGAAATCAGGATGCTTCATTTGTAACCTAAGTAAAGTCACCAAGGACCGTGGATCCTTGGGGCTGAGCTCTATGCTCTGTTAGCTGGCTAAGCAGAGCATAGTGAAGGCCCATCTAACCCTGAATACATACATTTCCAATGATCCCTGCCTAGAGTCACACTAAAGAGGACATTTACGGGGTGTGGAAGGAGGATCCTCTTTTCAGTCATCTGACTTTATAAACGCCATCTCCATCAGTGGAACGCCACAGTTAAAAGCTTTTCCAATGACCCTGTTATGCTTTCCTTCCTGATTTGCATTTGCTCACTCACCATGGTAGCATTCTCAATTTTAATGACAATAAAAATTTTTCGTAATTAGATCTTTTTTATTAAAAAAATTTTTGCCTCTAAATATATGATCTGGGCAGCTTCACAGGCACATAACTGCTTCTTTATTTACACTATGAATGTAGGAAGACTCTCCCTCTACTACCAGGCTTGAATTCTATGAATGCAAGGATAAAGATTTTTTACTTTAATCTTTTTGGCAACCCAATAATGGCAATGATCCTTCTAGGGTATGTTAGTAGCAAATAAGGAAAAATTTAAGTAAACTCAATTTGCCTTTAACCTCTTTGATCCCCCCTCTCCCCTTCAGGTCAATTGTCAAGGCCTGCTTTCCAACCCAATTAATTATATTCTATAGGTCTTTAAACCTTGACATAATAAATCTCACTTTCCATATCTCAAAATACCCTTCAGTCTTCTCCCTAGTTATAAGAATCCCCGGCCGGGCGCGGTGGCTCAAGCCTGTAATCCCAGCACTTTGTACATCTCATAAATTCAAACCTTTTATTTCCTAACCTCCACCAATATTAGTATTCCAAATATTTGTATACATTTCGAAAAAGATTTCAGGAGGCAGGGCACGGTCGCTCATGCCTATAATCCCAGCACTTTGGGGGGCCGAGGCGGGTGGATCACGAGCTCAAGAGATCGAGACCATCCCGGTCAACGTGGTGAAACCCCGTCTCTACTAAAACTACAAAAAATTAGCTGGGCATGGTGGCGCGTGCCTGTAATCCCAGCTACTCAGGAGGCTGAGGCAGGAGAATTGCCTGAACCCAGGAGGCGGAGGTTGCGGTGAGCCGAGATCGCGCCATCGCACTCCAGCCTGGGTAACAAGAGCGAAACTCCGTCTAAAAAAAAAAAAAAAAAAAAAAAAAAAAGAATCCCCAAAGGCCTTTCTATTCTTCTTCTACAGTTTTCTTTGGCAAGTCATAGCCATTTCCATCCTATCAGATTATCATGTTTGATGGGATGTAATGGTCTAATTTTGAATGTTTTTACAGAAAAATGAATTTTCTCTAATTTCATGTTTAGGAAAACTTTTTATTTCCCTTGTAAATTTGTATAAACTTAAGCTGACTTTGGTACATAGTTTCCCTTCTGGCATCTCTCCAAGAACAAATATTCTCATGGAGAGGCATCTCCTGTGACGGGACTGCATCTTGACACCTCATCACCTGAGACTGATGAATCTCCTTCCAGATATTTTATTCATGTCTTTTGATAACCACCACTAAATTCTTTTCCCCAGACTTGGCTTGTCTTCCATCATTAAGAAAACTCCACACCCAGTTCTCTAGCTGCAACCTCTATATGTTCTAATCCAGACGTACTGTCTCTGCTAAAATAAACCTTTTTCTTTTTTCAGATTTACCATTCCCCAAATTCTTGCATTAGCTTTTCCAAACCTCCTCCCATTGGTGAGACCCATACAAGTGAGGTGACTACTTCCTGTTTTGTATGTGCAACCCACTGTCATGACTGGCCTCCAAGTGCTATTTGCTCATTTGTAGGCTTCTTTATCATACCTGCCTCATGGCAACAGATATCTGAAAGTAATATCCTTAAAATTGGAGAAAACAAGCCTCTTCAATTGCTTCCCATGGCTAAGCATAGTGATATGAGTCTCCATGCCTCCCTCTTTCAGCACCTCTGAAATTCAAGGCTTTGTCCTTTAAGCAAATCTCTTCCCATACCTCACTATAGACCTCTTTAGATGAGTAACACACTCAGTTAAGAACCCAAACCAATTTCTACAACACACACTAGTGATGGACAGGCAAAGCTCAGAATGCATCCAGTTGTCCTACAGGAAGGGGGCACAAATGGTTAAAAGCATATTGCATTTAAAGAAACTGGAGTTTGAATCTCAGTTTTGCTGCTGACTAACTGGGCAAGACATTGGGCAGGTGAGTTAAATTTTGGGGGCTTCAATTTCTCCACCTGTAAAACGAAGATAATAATAAAGCTACCTTAGTGGCTGATAGTTTGCATGTGAAGCACATTTAGCATAATACCTCCCATATAATAAATCTTTCAACAAAACTTCACATACTGTATTTGATTATTTACTGTGGATCTGAAGTCACATTATACTTTAGGACAATATAAAATATTATTACCCATAATTTTTTCCAAAGGAATATTTTTATATCAAAATATATATGTATGATCAGAATATCATGGAAAAGTTCACCATCAAGAGAAGCTCAGAGAGACTAACCGGCTGTTTGAGGTTTAAATAATTGGTTTGTTACAGAGTTCTGCATGAGAACTCAGGCTGCCTGACTCCTAGTCAAGTGCTCTTTTGCTATACAGAACTGGCAGTGAAGTGATCACTCTTCTCTGAGAATTGCTAATAATTTTAGTTTGTGGAAAAATGTATTTTTTTTTTTTGGAAATAGAAGTGATTCCGTATACTTACTCTAGAAAGCCAACTGAGTTGCATTGAGAAGAAAAATGCTCAGGTTTTAAGGTAAAATGCCCATTCACTGCCAAGGCAACTCCAGCTACAACAAACGTCTGTGGTCCACTGTTCCTCCTTCACTCAGCATAGACCTTTGTCTCATAATAGAGTTGTTTCATCTCATTGAACTTTTTCTTTGTTGTTATTACTGAGCATTGTAATTAAACATTCTTCCGAATCTGCTTGGCAGCTGCCACTGTGTTCCCAGGAACCATTCATAGCCTTGTGTATTATTATCCTAATCCTCTGTTATAAAGAAAACTACTTAATGCCAAAAATCAGATACAAATACTGAAAGTACTTTACATTTAGTTTTATTAGAATGAGTATTAATTGACAGAGTGAGGGTGGGGGCGGGGGTGGGTCCAATTCTTCAAGACACTAGGACCTCTGTTAAGTTAAAGTTAGCATGCAATTTTGAGTTCTACTTGAGTTATATTCAGCTATGTGTTAACTTCAACATAGCTTGGGAAGCATTCACTGCACTGAATATTCATATGGCGTGCGTGATACAGACACTGAACCCAATTTAGTAAATGAATACTTGTAATTTCACCAAAGCCCCGCCGAGAGATTATTATGCAGATTTATGAAGGAATATCACTGAAGCAATTCTTGGCTATGTCTTCACTCACTAAGGACTCAAAAGTGTGTAAACCTCAAATCTTTTTCTATATATTTACCGCTACTGGTTTCATCTTCTGAACTTTTCTGACATTACCTCTCACTCTCTGTTTTATCTCTAATTTTCCCTTTAATATTCTTGCCCTTGAGCAAAGAGCCAGCATTATAACACCTACGAACACTGCCAAGTTCCTCCTGACAATATCCTGGCTGCCATAATGCCAGCAATCTGTTCCAATCCTGTCATTGCAAAATCTCATTAAAGGCAAAAGGATGCGGGGTCACAGGCATATAGATACACAGCAGAAGGGGCTTACATTTCCAGGATTGGCTATGTATGCCCTGTGCTAGGTCTCCTGATGTCTTCAGAGAAATCACATAATGGCAGTGCTGGGCTCAGAGAGCAGAAGCTAGTGTTGCTCATGCACACTGCAATATAGAGACCTAACATCCTTCCTCCGTCGAAGGACATTAACAGGTTACAGAGACCAGGTTCAGAATCAGCACCTTTTCCCAGAGGTTGGTTCAAACAGAAATGAGACACAGCCTGATTGAATAAGGCCTGGAGTGCATTGCAGGAGATCTGGATTTGAGTTTAAGCCTACAACTAGCTCATGGTTACCCTGGAGAAGTCACTTAGATCCTCTGCACCTCATATTCCCAGGCCACTGGGATACCAGGTCTTCAATTCTACAGTAATTTTCTAGAATTTACAAATGAAACCCCACAATGTTATAGGTGAAAAATTCCAAATCATACCGCAAATCATACTACAAATTAGCAGGAGACCCAGACATGTAAACTTCCAGGTATATCAGCTCATGAAATGACAAACACTTAAGTCTATGAAATAATTCAGTTCAGACCTAACAAGTTATCATCGCATCTCAGTTAGTGTGCATTGTAAGTTTATAGAAAACTCCAAATAATTTGGTGGCAAGCTTTTTTATTAAAACTTAGAAAATCATCTTACAAACCTCCGTATATCTATCTTTACTTCTTTCTGTAGCTCACTGGAATTATCTTTTTCTGGGATTAAAACCAAAAAGATACTGCTACAGCCATATATACCGCAACATAGTGTTACATTTCACATCCTGGGCTTTGGAGTGAAGGAGTCAATCCTAACTTCTTCACTTTCTTAATGTATTCAAAGTCAAACTACGTCTTTGAGCAGATGTGAAAATTAACAAAATAATGCAGGAAAAAGTTCTTGGTACCGGGCCTGGTATTTATTATCAGTGATGCTTAATAAACTTCAGTTTTTACTGTTATTACAGTAAATAATTCCAATAAAATTTTTATGAAAATTGCCCTAGGGTGCTAGATACTGTTACATTAGCAAGAATCCTTGGGGAAAAGGGTTGAAGAGAGACTGAACGGAATGGGATTGTTTCTTGGTTTGGGTATGTGCAGCTATGTCATCTTGGATGAGCAATTTAACTTCTTGAAGACTCAATAGCTTCATTGGTAAAACAGAGATAATACTAATGTTCTATGAAAATGAAGTATACATGTGACAAAAAATACTGAAGAAAACTTTTTGTGTATACCTAAAACCAGCAATGGAGCTCAAGTCCAGGGACCATGACTTAGAACCCATATTTACAGGGCAGCAGCCAGCAATTGGGGCCACAGGGACCCCTAGGGCCTTCTAAAAAGGGTGAAAAATAGTCTGACCACAACCGTAATCACTAGACTCTTGCTAATCTACGTGTGGTCCATAAACCAGCAGAATCAGCATCACCTGGGAATCTGTTAGGACTCTCAGGCCCCACCTCACAATTATGGAATTAGAATCTTCATTTTAAAAAGTTCCTGGGTGACTCAGGTACACATTAAAGTTTCATTAACACTCGCTTAGACCACCTGTATAAACTTTAGTTTATACAAGCAAAAGGCCGGTAAGGGAAAAGAGAAGGAAATCTTCAGATTAATGAGTTGTGAGCTCCTTTAGGTGGGGGAGAGACATGACTAGGGGTTTTCTCCCCCAAAAGGCATGGCTTAACTGTGGAGAGGGTAGGTAGAGCATCAGATGAATCACCTGAAAAGATTAGGGATCTCTGCAAGAAGGAGAAGTTGGCATTTTAAGCAGCTTTTTGATCAATTTGTGGTTACCTGAAACAAAAAAGAAATTGGAAAGAGGTAATAGAGTAGACATAGAGGGAGCATAATGCAGAGGCAAGCTGCATCCTCCTCATTTTGTGGGGCTGAGATTCCTGAGTTTCTGAAGGCCAAGAAACACTGCTAGAGGTAGCCAGGGTTGGAACCGCCATCTTGGTAGGGCCCTCCTGCAGAGTGCTGTCATATGAACAAAGGATATAGGAGGTGGGAGGTGGGAGCTAAGGAGATGGGAAATTGTTCAGTCAGGTTCAATCTTGTGCTCTTCCACATTAGGGAACTCTTTGATGAAGAAATGTCTACAGGACTCTCAGAAAAACCGTCCTGTACTCGAGTTTGGGTTTTAAGCTAGGCAAATGGTTAATAACTGAAAATAATGG